GAATCACTGTCTTCATATATTGCCTTGTCCTCAGCGGGAAATGCAAGCAAAAAAAATCTATAACCACTGTATAAGACACACCCAGTTTTTAGATCCCAAATTTTTTTAAAAAGGGTGCATCTTATACATGGGGAAATATAATAGATCCCAACCTTTAATAGTTGCCCATCTGAGCCCAAGGTCATGGGCAAGGATTCTGCCACCTCAACCTTGTAATCCCTCTATTTCTTCTCTCTCTTAATTCCACTCCCTTATTTCCTCTTACCGTCTCATGCTAACTTTCCTCTCTCCTTTTTCCTTTTCTCTACTTGTTTTCTGTCAGTGGCAGCCAAGCTAAGAGGTTGTCAGTCACATGCCTACTAAGTGCCATGTGTGCGGGGCAATGTGCTACGCTGCAGGATGATGAAGGTGAACATAACAAAACCACTACTCTTAAAAATTTTAAAGATGCATATAATTTTAATAAAGTACAGTGGGGGTTAAGATAAACGTTTCAGGTCAAGGGTTGGAAAACTCTGGCCCCTTTGGCCCCTTCTGCCACCTGGTTTTACAAATAAGGTTTTGTGGAAATACAGCCATGCCCATTGGTTTACATCTTGTCTGTGGCTGATTTTGTGCTACAACTGCAGAGTGAAATAGTTGCAACAGAAACTATAGGGGCCAAAAAGCAAAAAATACTTACTATCTAGTCCAAACAGAAGTTTGCCAACCCCTGTACTAACAAGTCATCATTTGAGTTTCTCGCTTCTTTAAAAGAGGAGAACCAGCAATTCTTATGCACAATCTGAACTCAAATGTTAAAGCAGAATTCAAACAATAACCTCTATCTTTTGCTAATGAGGACAGTAAAGAGACAGTAAAGTACAATCATATCTTCACATTTTCTTCAACAGACATTAAAAGAAAAAAAATATGTTTCATTTACTTTTAAACTAACTTTCCCCAAACATAAGTTTCTCTGTGTAAATCAACAGAAATCAGGTACCTGTTTTCTGGGCAGAAACTTCAGGAATTAAAAGGGCAGAACTACCCTGAAATTTTGTTCCAGAAATTTTGGGAGGTGTGGCATCACTTTTCCTTGAAGTATCTTTCCATAATGGTGTTAGAAGTTTAGCCTAAAATATAGTGCTTTTTAAAAGTGTCAACATTCATAACCACTTAAGATACATTGTCAAAAATTCCAAGACATTTCCAATATTCTTTTAAAAAGTTTAAGTATTGGGTTTGCTCCATTTGAAAGTAAACACTAAGACTATAAGATCCCAGAGTTGGAAGCACACTAGGTCATATACAAAGGGTGCCAAAAAAAAAAAATGTATACACATTTTAAGAAAGGAAAAAACTGTATTAAAATTCTAATGCTCAATATATACTGATAACAAAAGATGAATACAAGTCATATGTTTACATTTTTTGGGTACCCCCGGTATCAATCGATAATTCTAAATCAAAAATAATTCTACACCAAAGTTCTCCAAGTGTGGTCCCAGAGCACAGCATCAGCAATACCTGGAGACCTGATGCATATGCCAGTTCTCAAGCTTCACCTATGACCTACTCAGTCAGAACTCTTGGAACCCAACAGTCAGTGTTTTAACAAGTCACCCTGGTCATTCTGGTGACCTTCACTAAAGTTAGTGAGAACCACTGCTCTAAATCAGGAGTCGGCAAACTACAGCTCACTGCCTGTACTGAGGAAAACATTATTGGAACACAACACTCCATTCGTTGAGGAATTGTCCACAGCTGCTTTCCTGCTGCAAAGACAGAGATGAATAGTTGCCACAGAAACCATATGGCCCAGAGTCAAAAATATTTACTCTCTGGCCCTTTACAGAAATAGTTTGCTGACCCCTGCACTAGATTATTCTCTTCACGACTCCAACAGAGAGAAGTGAATTTTGAATTTTGAAATTTGTACAAAGTCAGCAATGCCCTCGTGGAAAATCAGCATACACTTCTTATCACTTGCACAGCTTAAATTTATGGATTCTCAAGGCTTTGATGTTTTCCTTTAGTGTTTATTTAAAACAAAAAGACATATTTACTAAAAACTGTTCTTTTGGTTTATTTCTAACTGATAACTCATTATTTCAGTTTGAACTATTCAACAAATACCGTATTCCCCCATGTATAAGATGCACATTTTTTGAAAAATTTGGGGTCTAAAAACTGGGTGCATCTTATACAGTGGTTGTATGAGCGCAAAAAAACAAGCACAAAAAAAGCGGGAAATGCAAGTAAAAAAATTCTACAACCACTGTATAAGATGCACCCAGCTTTCAGACCCCAAATTTTTTGAAAAAGGGTGCATCTTATACATGGGGAAATACGGTATTTAGGCACTTCCTCTGGCTCACAGGTTTAATCTATAAACGATCTCTGTCAATACAGAACCCAAAGGCCCCTTAGATTCACAGAGAGCAGCAATCCCCAGGCTGATGGAGGGAGGCAGGTGGGGGGCAGATAACTAGTTATGAAGGGAGCACTGATCACATGGTTGGTGATGCCCTCAGAAACCCAGTGGCCAGGTAGGACAGGTCTGATTTAACAAGAAGCAAAAGCCAGCTGTTGAGAGAGGTAATTCAGCTAATCGTAGGAAAAATTAGTTTCTGAATTGGCCTGGAGGACACTGGTGCTTATATTCTTAACTACTTTGCTATAAAACAAGGATAACTGAAGGGAATTAAGAAACTTTGACGGTTTATTCAATATTTAAATAAGCCTGAAGGCATTTCTACCACTTGCAAAATAAAGATTTAAAGGTTTAAATCATTAAAAGCTTTGGAAGTAACATGTCAACAAACTGAACACTAAGGGAAGAAATAAACCAAGAAGTTTATTTTAAAAATTAAATTCAATAGAGCTTATATTTGCAGTTAATCAGAACAGCCCAGATTTTAAGCAGTTATAATCAACATCTTTCAGCAATATTTGGGAACAATGAAAAAAGATCCTACATCTCTACCCAAGATTCATACTAAATGTTTAGAAGTCCTTGCAGTTTCCGTTAACAGTGGTTTACATACTAGTAAACCACTACTTTATTATTGTCATATTCCTAAAAGGGGCCTTTTTAAGACATAAATGCAGTTTAACCCTAAACAGATCCACCTGTGTCATACTAATGCCATGAGGGCACATGGCAGCCCCGATAACGTTTACTTACTTGGTCTTTCTCATGGTCACTTCCAGGACCGAGAGGGGAAAGTGGCAAGACTAAAATGAAAAGAAATAAGTGTACAATGGATAAGTTCACATATGAGGAATACGAAAACTCATTTTTCCCTCTCCCAGTTATACATGTCCAGGCTAAAAGCTATTTCCATTTCCTATAACTAACTCAAGGCCTGGCTCTGAAGATCCCTTTCTAATTATTCAACTGTGTTCCTCACCACCCAGCACGCATTCTCTGCTCTAGATCGTGTCCCTGAATGCCATCCTCACATCCTCAGTTTGTCCTTGTAATTTTACTTCACTTAGAATTCTTCCCCCTCTCCACAGCTCTTCAAATCCGATTTTTTCCAACGAGGAGCTCAGGTCCTACCCATCTCTTCCTTGAAGCTTTTCCTAATGATTCCAGCTCATATCAGAGTCCTCTTATCTGAACTATTACTCCTTTTATCTATAGCTCATATTTCACAGTTACTGACCATTTCCATATTCTTTTGTACTGTTTCATGTATGTACATTTTGCCTTTCCAATGTAATTGTAGCAGGTAAGGGGAATCACATGATCATACATTTCTTTGGTACCTGCACTCATCACATACTAAAAAATAAACACCTGCTGATTTATTTGAAAAATGACTTGAAAGAAGACATGCATCTAACTTACTTTTCAAGCTAGTTCTGGTTCTTGTCTTTTTTCGACCAGGATATGATTTTAGGCATTTCCTTTCTTGGTTATTGGCCCAAGATAGTTCACTGGTACTAGTACTTGAATCTTGATTACTCTCTGAGAAGAGGCGTTTCCTGTAATGAAACTTCTACAAACACAGATGATAAATGAGAATTAGTAAAGGGTGCTAGTACCCTTTATATACAATTAAACATATCACTACAAAGTGAGACAAAAGAGAAGTAACTCCTCCTAGAAGACAGGGTCTCTTATATAATAAAAAGGCACAGAAGTAAGGAGGGGACAAAAAAGAAGAAAGATTATTTCATTCGTCAATTCTCAACCAAGCTGATGTTGTAAAGGATAACAAAATCCTCTCTAATCCAATACTTGCAACTAAAGAGATGCTAGGTAACTGTTCAAAAGCTGATGCACCTTAGTATCATGTCAACACTATAACTTCAAAATACTAACCTGAATGACAAAAGCAAGTATAAAACGAATTTTTGCAAAGATAGACTTGTCTACATTTTAGAAGAACTAAGATAAAAACAAGAGGGTTATTTCTATTTGAACTTTAAAGCCTTTGAAATTAAGCCTGGACTATAAAGGTTAGTTTTTTTAGGATAAATTTAATCTATTCTGGTGGATTATTCAACTGCACATTGATATTTACATATATATTAAATATTTTTCTGTTTTTGAAGTCACTTTTATAAATGCTGTTAATAAAAATGTTTATGCTCAGGGCCGGCCGAGTGGCTCAGTTGATTAAGAGCTCACTCAAGAGTGCAAGCTCTGAGCAACAGGGTCACCGGTTCAATTCCTGGCCCAAGCTGAGCTGCCGCTGAGCTGCCAACAAGTGGCAGGATGGCTCAGCTAAAACAAACAAACAAAAAAAAGTTTAAGCTCAGTTTTAATATGAATTTGGAATTTGTTTGGATTTTAACAAAACACATACTCTATTTGAGCCCCGTCTGTTGGGCCCCTCCAGGGGCCCAGTCCTTAAACCACTATGCCTCCATAGGGGCTCCATTATTCAGCTGGTAACAACTCATTCTCATTTTAGGCCAGGGAGGAGTCACATGAATCCAAATGTATTAAGTGTAACAGTATCCCACATACTCTTTTCAATTTGACACACATCAGCTGGAAGATACACCCTGTGCCTGGAATGGCAAAGCATAGAATTAGCTTAGGGTGAGAACCAGTCTCACCCTTATTTATGATAGCACAACCCATAACTTTTAAGATGGGTGATGGTGAACTATCTATTTTTCAAATGAATTTATTTCTAAAGATCCAATTTAAAATGTTTAGCAGTTCAACCTTTGTAGAGAAGCTCATTTTGAAAGGAAATTTGTGAGTCAGACCTATCTGCATCTCACTCTTATGAGAAAAATAAAAAAGGTTGGGGGAACCCCCACATTTGTTCCAGAGTTCCTCAGCCCATCTCGTAAAGAGCAAGCATCACTTCATTAAATGCACCCAATTGAAACATCGCACAGCAAGGCTTTCCCAGTTTCTTTACTTTTATATAAAAAGGTGTTGAAAGTTATTTACTAAAAGACAAGTATCCAGAGCAATTGCTTTTAAATTTGGCTGCATATTAGAATCACCAGGAAAGGGCTTTTGAAAAAAATCCCAATGCCTGAGCTTAATCCAGGACCAATTACGTCAGAATCATTGGAGAAGAGATCCAGTTTTTAGTATTTTCGTCAGCTCCCCTGGTGATTCCAACTAGAAGCCTGGGCAGTGGGAAATGAGAACCGTTCCTAAAAGCAAAACAGAAGGAGCCTTATCTCGTTTGTTTGAAGCTTGTGATCTCAAATTTTTTTTAAATGTCATTTAATGTTCATTATAGAGATATTTTTCAAATGCACTGACTACAGACTTAGAGCACTGATCTTCCCAAAGTGGGAGCAAACTGGAGAGGTGTAAGTTGGTGGACACAGGAGCAAAACCATGTCACTGACTCAGAGTAAAACATTTCTTTTCAATTCATTAACACTTCTGCTTCTATTCAGGATAAATCTCAAGTGCTAGTAGGTCTTTGTACTTCTCTTCTGCTTACTAATCTTTTTTTAAACAGCAAGAAAAGGTTCTAGCCACAAAGTCTAACAAGTAAAAGTATAGTTTGGTATGATAACTTTGTTATTTTCCATTGTATCTATTTGGGGGCTTACCTATTTGTTACAACTAATGCTGATTTTCCATTTGAAAGTGAAATAATTCTGGGATTCTGATCAACATGGCAGAGTAGGTAAATGCTGTGTTCGCCTCCTCTCCTAACTACATCAAAATTACAACTAAACCATATAACAACCATTGCTGAGAATCGCCTGAAGTCTAGCTGAACTAAAGTACTACAACTAAGAATATACCAAAGAAGCCACGTTGAGACTGGTAGGAGGGGTGGAAACACAGAACAGGCTGGTCCCACACCTACCCGTGGCAGTCAAAAATCAGGAGGGATATCTCGGCTTCAGAGGTACCCACTGAGGAGGAAAGGGTCCCACCCCCAAACCAGGCTACCCAGTCAAGAGCTCCAGTAACAGGAAGAAAAGTCCCCATAATTTCTGGCTGTGAAAACCAGTGGAGATTATGGCTGAGTAAGACAGAGGGCAGCTGGAGTCCCCAACATTCCTCTTAAAGGGCCCACACATGAACTTACTGATGGACTCACTAACTCTGAGCTCCAACACTGGGGTAGCAACTAGAAAGGTACCAGGGATACACAGGGTGGAACTGAATTATCTGGCTTCATGGCAAGGGCTGGAGGGGAAGCTTTCTCCCAGATAGAAGTGCTAGCAGAAGCCACTGTTCCTTTTTTGAGCCCTCCCCACTCCTGGTGTGCAGACACAGGCAGCCACCACATCTGAATCTCCATTAACCTGGCTAACAATGTTCGCCCCGCTTTGGGATTCCCTGAGACTCCAAACCACTCAATTTGCAGGGCCACCCAAGCCTCTGCCAGTGCCTTTTCCATACAAACAGCTCATCTTGGCTCATGCAGCAGACTTTCCTAAAATCCCTCAAAGGTTCACAAACCCCAAACAAGGAGCATCTAGCCTCAGTGTGTCCCGTACCTCTTGCTGAGCAGCCCAAGCCTGGCACTAGTGGCAGCTTACCTAAGTTCAAGGACTGGTCTCCCCCCGGTACCACCAAACTCCACGTGGATGGTGGCCATCTGCATATTGCTTTGTTGCTCATTCCAGGAGGCCTCAAGGCTGGCACACCTGGTGGATGGCTTCAGATTGCGCTGGAGCACCACCCAATTGCCTCCACAGATGACACACCCAAAAGGAAGACTGAGCAGGCATGAGACAGAGCCCTACTAAAGCAAATCCTGCTCCATAGGGTCAGCCCCTCCACTGTAGTCATGGCCAGTCTTCAAAACCAATCAACCTGAGGGTCAAACCCTCCCACTGACATGCAAACAGCAACCAAGGCTCAACTACAACAGAAGGGCACACACAGCCCACACAAGGGACACCCTGCAGCACCTGGGTCAGGTGACCAGGGAGACTGCACCACTGGGCCTCACAGGACACCTACTACATAAGGCCACTCTACTAAGACCAGGAGGCAGAGCAGCTCTACCTAATACATAGAAATAAACACAGAGAGGCAGTCAAAATGGGGAGACAAATAAACATGTCCCAAATGAAAGAACAGAGCAAAGCTCCAGAAAAAGAACGAAACAAAATAGAGACAGGCAATCTATCAGATGCAGAGTTCAAAACACTGGTTATCCAGATGCTCAATGATTTCACTGAGAACTTCAACAAAGAGACAGAAAACATAAAAATGGAGATAGAAAACAAAGAACCAGTCAGAAATGAAGAACACAATAACTAAAATAAAGGATACATTAGAGGGAATCAATAGTAGATTAGATGAAGCAGAGTATCAAATCAGCGAATTTAGAAGGTAGCATAAAACACCCAATCAGAACAGCAAAAAGAAAAAAGAATCCAAATAATAATAATAATAATAATAATAATAATAATAATAATAATAATAATTAAAGGGACCTCTTGGCAGCATCAAGCATATCAATATTTGCATCATAGGGGCACCAGAAGAAGAAGACCAGACAGCAAGGAACTGAAAACCTATTTGAAGAAATAATGATGGAAAACTTTCCTAACCTGGTAAAGGAAATAGATACACAAGTGCAGGAAGCACAGAGAATCTCAAACAAGATGAACCCCAAGAGGTGCACACCAAGACATATTATAATTAAATTGTCAAAGGTTAAAATCAAGGCAAGAATCTTAAAAGCAGCAAGAGAAATGCAGTTACCTATGAGGAAGCTCCCATCAGACCATCAGCTGATTTCTCAACAGAAACTTTGAAGGTCAGAAAGAATTGGCATGAAATATTCAAAGTGATGAAAAGTAAGGACCTACAACCAAGATTTCTTTACCCAGAAAAGCTATCATTTAGAATTGAATAACAGATAAAGTACTTCCCAGACAAGAAAAAGCTGAAGGAGTTCATCACCACCAAACCAGTATTACAAGGAATGTTAAAGGGGCTTCTTTAAAAAGAAGAGAAAATGAAATTCTTCTTGTGAAGGGCAGCTTGTGTCTGAGAATTCCTTTCCTGAAGTCATGTTCTGTAGATTTTGGACAATAAATTTCTTATTTTATATATATATATATATATATATATATATATATATATATATATATATG